CGGGCTCCTCCCTGACCCAGGCCTAACGCCTCAGGCTGAGGCTTTAGACCTGGACGGGGGCACATCCAGCACCCGGCCACCGATCACTGACTGACTCCGCCCCGGTTCCCTGCCAAAGCCACCATCAAGGATCGCTTGCTAGCTCTGCCCCGGTCCAAGCCTAAAGCCTCTGGCTGAGGTGTTAGGCCTGGGCCGGGGCCCCTCCCCCCATGCTCCCCGCCTTCTCTGCCATCAACGATAGCTGGCTGGCTCCTCCGCAGTCCAAGCCTAAAGCCTCTGGCTGAGGTATTAGGCCTGGGCTGAACCCCCCACCCCCCATGCTCCCCGCCATCAAGATCGCTGGCTGGCTCCTCCCTGGCCCAGGCCTAATGCCTCAGGCCAAGGGGTTAGGCCTGGACCTGGGCACCCCCAGCTCCCCACCACCAATCGCTGGCTGGCTCCGCCCCTGTTCCCCACTGCAACTGCCATCAAGGAGCCCTGGCTGGCTGGACCGGCCCCAGCCTAAAGCTTCAGTCTGAGGCTTGGGGCTGACCTATGCAAATTAACTGCCATCTTGGCTGGCGACTAATTTGCATATCTCACTGATTAGCCAATGAAAAGGGTAGCAGTCGTATGCCAATTACCATCTTTCTCTTTTATTATATAGGATATTCTTTTTTATAAGTTTAGTAATGTTGCTTTTTAAAAAATATATGTTTATTGATTTCAGAGAGGAAGGAAGAGGTAGGGAGAAATAGAAACATCAATGATGAGAAAGAATCATTGATCGGCTGCCTCATGCAAGCCCCTGACTTGGGATTGAGCCCACAGCCCAGGTATTTGCCATTGACCAGAATCGAAACTGGGGCCTTTCAGTTTGCAGGCCAATGCTCTATCCACTGAGCCAAACCGGCTGGGGAGATATATATATATATATTCTTAATCCATTCATCTATTGATGGACACTAGGTTTCTTTCATATCTTGACTATTGTAAATAATGCAGTATACATATGATGCATGTGTCTTCTAGATTTAGTGTTTTGAGTTTCATTGGATAAGTACCCAGAAGTGGATTTGCTGGGTCATCCTTTGTCTCTTGTTATCTTTGCTTTAAAGTCTATTTTGTCTAGTGTAAGTATTGTTACCCCAACTTTTTTTTCATGTTTCCATTTTTCTAGAATATATTTTACTATCCCTTTTTTCAGTCTGTCTCTTGTACACAGCATATGTAAGGATCTTGTTTTGTTATCT